TCGATCCCTGTTGACGATGTCGAGCAGGATATTTATGTACCGATCATATTCTGATCCAATTAAGCACAGCGGAATAGGAAAGTTCTTGTGCACTAGAGCCCGGATTGGAGTTATTCCTGGTGGACCAGGATATCGGGCGCTGTTATTTTGCATAGTTCGAACCAGCTTAGCAATATCCACCGCAACAATGTGTTGATGTTTCGATGAGAGGCAGCCCCAAAGGTCAGCCAAATTGATGCCATCGACATAATCCATGATTATGATGCGATAGCCGGTAATATCATCTCGAATGACCTTACGGACCCGGGGAATATGATTACGCATTCCCCATCTTCCCTCAGCGATCCACATAATATCTGCCTCTCCCTGGCAAACTTTTGGCCCCCATTTGGCAACCAAGTTAGGGGAAATACGTGACACAACATTTCGGGTATCAGGTCGAATTGATAGAACTGGAGTTCGGCGCCAATCAGTGATGATTTGGGCGAGGATGTGGTCCGGAAGAAGATCAATTTCCCCAGGCTTATAATCTCTGAGAGGAAAGGGGAACCTGTTATCGAGACTCCGAATCTGTTGTTGTTAACTAATATAATAAAGGGGAAGCAAATATGACGATATATAACCCACATCGCAGAGCTTCAAGTCAGTCGATCTGGAGCTCAAGCCGGGGCTTGGGAGCCAGCGGGGCGGACGTGGCACTACTGGACAACGAACAACGGGGGGTTTCCAATGATGCCAGGAATATGGGAGGCTAATATCTAGCGCTGGAAGAAACAATGAGGCTGTAGGCGGTGGTGGTGGAGTTGCCTTGCAGATCGGAGAAGGTAAGCTTCTGGCGCGGCGTGGTGGTCGATTGGGAGGAATACGGCGAGGGTGACTGCGAGGGTGACTGCGAATACGTGCACGGCGACGTTTGGCCCAAGCTGGCATTTCGAGCGGTTCCATTGTGTATTATTGTTGTAGATAATTGATTCTTCAATTGAATTGATCGTATCCTGCTGATGAAAGAAATGTTCTGATTCTTACCGAGAGCGAATCGACCAGAATATGAAAATGCTCAGTCCTATTAATGAAATCTGAGTCCGGTAGTTCAGAGGAAGAGATGGAGCAATGAGAAATTATTAGGATATGATTCTAAGCAAGAAAACAGTTTCTCTTTCTCTGAAGTTTCTGATAAGCTGGGACGAACTTGCTCTCTATAATCGCCCTACTACTCTTACCTCAGTTTTGACATCTTATCCCATTTCCGTGTTTAGCAAGAGCTGATCTTCCTAAATCTGAACAGACGGCGTACTCTCAGCTGTAAGTACGGATGTTCCAACTCCCATGAGGTTCACAAAATATATTATACCTATCTAGGTACCTACACCATATATTCAGTAGAAAACGGCATACTCATATCCAAAGCTTTTGGAAAGAATATGTTCATAGATATCTTATATACTTCGGAGGAAAATACAACTTGAAGCGGGTTGATATGCCAGTTTGGTAGTTGTAGATGAGCATGAATATTAGAATTCAAACAATCGTTTCTAATTGACGGTTCCTGGATAAGCGAGATGCAAGAGACTAATGATATATTATTGAAAGCAAAACGTATATGGAAATAAAGCAATTCATGGATGCAAGCAATGGAAGCAATGGAAGCAAAATTGAATGAGCTAGAAGAAGTAGGAAGGGACCTTGTTCAACTTAACAAGCCACGAATGTTACATTGGATTCAAGAAAGTACCGTGGTCCGTAACTAGCCCTACCCACGTAGGCAGGTAAGAGGCAAAGGCGGTCCTTGGCCCGGTTTCAAGCTTTTCCGGTCCGAGCGTTCAAAGTCCCGCTCCACCTAATCCTTAGCCACCACACCACCATCTAAATGAGGTTAGCCACTATGGCTTGTTACTATTTTTCTCTTCTTGAGACAACTGTGGCATTAGCATCTCCCACCAATCAACAACATCTATTTTTCCCTCTTTCCTTACGAGATTCGGTAGGGCCGGTATGAAAGGCTATTACCTATTAGGTACTTACCTAGGTAAGCTTCCCGTTAACGTTTTTCTCGTATCCTATTAAAAGGACTTTCTTTATTCTTTGACTAAACTAACCTCTACAAGAATTTTAGGTGAGCTTGGCAAGGCCTTCGGTTGGAAGTTTTCACGAGATGCCAATCATAGCCACTCGCTTTTTTTCTTTCTGTTGTTTCCATCTACGCCGAGCTACTGGCATGTAAATGACGCTTCCGTCGGCAGCAACATGGCTATCTGACAGGCTTGCTCGCCGAAATGGGTAGTCATCTAGCGAGGTCTAAGTCACATTTCATCATGGCCCCCCTAGTACCGATTTCACTGCCACAGATCTCTGGATCACCAGCTCTTCAGCCGCGTCACGCCCAGTTTAGATGCGCCGTTTATCGATATACCTAGCCGCAGTCTTTCTAGGCATAGTAAGAATGTAACCGGTCCCTCAGCTCACAAGGATTGATCGTTGCCGTGGCGCGCATAAGGCAAACGAGCTGCAGCATACATACATACCTACCTACCTAACCTAGCATACATCCCATATGTATCTTGGAGTTCTGACACCATTCTAGTCTAGTGGTATCCATCCGTATTTCATATATTATGAGTACTGCTGCTCATTGATTACTTGTGGCCAAGCGGTCTCATGTAATCCTTCTGTCTTATAATTCATATAGATCAACCTCCATTCGTTACATTGTCATTCCAAGGATTGTGTCAACTTCCTAATTTATACTGATCCTTCCGATTCCAAACAAAATATTAAATTAAACCGACTCCCAGATTTCCAGTTAACTCATCATTCACTTGGATATTTTGGTCTCAATCGATCGGAACAACTGGCGATGCAGTTCAGCTTGGTATTACCAGCCATAACGATGTTCTCGTTATTGGGAACATTCAGCTACGCATCACCCATTCGCTGTCCAGACGTATGTCTACCTGCCATAGTAACCTTTAACTGTCATGTTGTTACTGACACATATCTAGTCCAAAAGAGATTTAATTCTCAGCGGGACGATGCCGGCCGAGGAATGTTGTAGCTACGGAGTCTGCAAGAACACAGTCGTTATCGCAATGGGACGGGCTCAAGAGAGCGATAGCTCGGCAGTTAAATACAACACGAAACGATGATACAGCAAGACCGATGTCTCTCTTCCAGAGAGCACACTTCACGATCACAACATTAGCATAACATCGGCGTTTTTTTTCTTCAAATGGTTCTAGCGTTTTGGCATGGGCAAATGGCGTTGGGAGTGGGGGCCAATTCGGTGGCTGAAAACCGATTGTGAGATTTTGGCGGCGGACCAATCATTGCTTGCATCTGGCCGATTGGTAGATGGACATCTATCTGCATTGCATACGGCGGGACTTCATGGCGTTACATTGCGATGTGGGATATGCAACCGAGACGACGTTACATACCGTCTTCGAGAAGAAATACCCCCCAAACAGTTTGGAAATTGTTACTTGAGCAAAAAGAAAGAATTTTAGTAGCTCCCCAAATACGACTATGAGGCTCAATTCCTCGTAGTTTCAACTATATCTTTCATCCAGACCCATTGAGTGATTACGAGAACTTTGAAGTTTTATTTAGTCAAAATCCACTAGAGTGGTAAGATATCGTCCGGGCAACTCTGGCCGGCCAAGCCCAAGCGAGCGAATATAGCGTGGGGATGGCTTTTTTCTCGTATCTGCATTGACAGCAGATGCGGCTGTCTGATAATGCAAGCCGGAACATATATCACGTCTTCTAATCGCAGCCATTTCTTTTTGTTTATCATCGACGTTTAAGACTTTAAGTCGACCCATCGGCTCGGACGAAAAGCTCCAGAGTGCCAGCAGCTGTAGCTGTTGTAACGAGTCAACATTTTTCGGCGACACGTATGATTTTGTTCAAAATTCTTATTTGCTATAATCATGCTGCTCTGCGGTTGATGGATGGGGTTATACGGAGTATCCAAGTCCAATTGCGATATCGTTCTCGGGAGAGAGCGGTCTACAATCCAATAGCATGGGTCTTGACTCTTGAGTCAGATACGGCTCAAACTAAGTCATAGCTAGCTTCATCACAAGCTTACTTTGACTTACCTACCTCACCTTACCCTAGCTCGTACCGCTGCCGCCTAGCAGCACATGTCAGCTGTCGTCGGGTCACGGCCACGATAGGGCTTTCTGCGATATGATATAAATACGACCCCGCCGGCGCACATCGTTCGACAGATGAGCCGGTTGGCTCGCTCGCTTAGCATCACGAATTCTCCCGTTGGCTTGTTGCAATCTCCTGGATCCGTGCCGCATCGTGTTCGTTGGGTCTTGACTCTTGAGGTTCTCCATTAGTAGGACTTCTAGAAGGTCGGGTGGATATATGGTTAAACGAGACTCCTATTTTCGGATAGTTAAGTTCACGATGCCTCCGCTGACCTGTAGAGCTAAAGAGTGGGGGTTTGTCGTTTAGTGCATCTGAGTATGCATCTCTAATTCTTCTAGTGTTATCTAGCTACGAAGAGGTGCATTGAAAGTGCATTGGTATGCAGTCAATACCAGCCTCATATGTACATATATGGTATAAGTGTTAGACTATATCGGCAAGAAGCTTTCCCCGTGATATATGAACAAGCCCTAACATTGTACAATATCAGGTCTTAGTGATGATATATTCTTCATCATCATATAACCAGCTCTCTTGTCCACATTACACTCTCATTGCATCAAAGGTTCTTAATAAATACATCCATATCGTATCGTATCATCTCATCTCATAATACCAACGGAGTATTTTGCATCTTCAGATGAAATACCAAGCTAATAGTCAGCTTACTCCATTCCAAGATCCATACGGTACGCTAAGCAAGCTCCACCCTATCGATTAGGGCAAAAGATTTCTCTATCCAACTATATAGGTACATCGCTTATAATATCGAACAACGCCGCCTGTCCTCCACCGAACTAGATCATCGTGGATCCGAACGGGACCACGACAATAGTCAGGGGCTTGTGGTTTAGTGGTATAATACTCCCTTAGCATGGTTGACGAACTACGACGACGATCCACACGATGGTTTCGTGGTGTTGTCTAACAGCTTGGGAGTGGTCCGGGGTTCGATTCCCCGCGAGTCCAGCGTTGAGAGGTTAGATTCCTCTTATTATACAATATTTTTTATTGATTTGAAATTTTATTTTTGGCTACCTACTATAAAACTTATTACGCGAATGACGTCTTAATTAACCATGCTGGATTTGATTCTTGTGCACCAATTAATCATGCAAGAACGAAACGTCATGACTTGTCTTGCTCCCATAGGTAAGAATAATCCGGGTAAATCACCGGCCGCAGCCTACTCTTCATTTGTATGGTGACTAAAGGCTTGTTTGGGGCCAGTCTTGATATGAATCAGCTTTCACTTATTTATTCACTTACTCTAGGCTCATTTTGCAGAAATTACAATTACAACCCATTGATGCAACACATAATCAAGACACCAAGTGCTCAGTAAGAAGAGCGACGCCAACTCTTTTCAAGGCACGAATATTTTCCTCTTCACTATATACATCGGATCCTATATACTGCCGTTCTTTCACTTGCGAAAGTAACATAAACCACGAGCCCTGTCGCTCATCACGCCTTACACCCCTCTATCCAACCATCACCATATATCTCACAGCACAACCAGATTACTTATCTTCAGCCCCTGGCTCTCAACATGGTATCTCCTCCTAAGCCCCACACTCCTCGTCGTTCTCAGCACATCATACGCCTCCTGCCCTCCTCCCGTCATCAGCATAGCTATGGGACGATGCCGATGTATACCCGCAGGCGTCTTCTGCGGCTCGTCGAGTAGCGGCCGGATAAAGTTGAACCCCCACTTATCCTCGTTCTCGTTGAGGTCATCGTCGTCTTCCTCGACCTTATCGTCCGATATGACGATCACGAGCTGCAGTGCGCTCCGGCTCGGCGCGAACGACGGAATGTTGGCTAGCTTCTCCGAGAACGAGCAACCCCCGCGGCGCATGACGATGACTTGGTGCGCTCGCGGTGCTGTGTCCGGAAGCTTGCCTTCGCAGGCTTGGCCCGCGAAAAAGATACCTTGCCAGGACAGCGACTCGATGACATCGGTCGTGTGGGGATTGGGCGCTTCGCGGACGTCGGGCAAGGGAGCAGCGCCTACCCCGACGGGGGTGATTGCTGGCAGCTCCATGTACTTATATTTAGTCTGTGGTCCGGGCTCTGGACCGAAGGTAGCAACTGGTTCCCGTAAGACGGACGTGATCTGCTGCAAGAACGAACTAAACATACCGACGGCAGAATCGCTGTCGAGCTCGGTGGTGGACTGGCTCTCGAGAGGGGGCTCTGGATCCGCGGATGACAAATTACGTTCCGGTGGCGGTTCGGGCACCTCAATCTGTAGAAGGATATCTACAATGACGGAGTCGCGAACACGATGGAATAATGGGTCCGACATGTCCTCGAGAACGTCGCGGGTGATGAAGACCTTTTCATCCCGGCCCAGCGGTAAGCTCCCAATGCTGTAGACCCTCCAAGCGCGCTCAGATGGTTCCGGGGGCTCTTCCATAAGAAGGGCTAGCTTTAGGCCGGCGAGATTATTAATCGCAATACCTTCACTCCCCATGCGGACAATATTATGCCCGCCAAAAATGATGTTGAAGGCGCTACCCACGGACTGTTGAGCACCAGAGGGAAATTCAATTACCGAGGTCTGAGCCTGCTTTGTCACGGCACAGATGCCATCGGCTGGAAGCATATAATGAGGTAAAGTCCAGGGGAAGTAGGTGTAGTTTTCCCGTGGCTTCTCTGAGAGATTTGTCTGCGCTTCTGTACCACCTAGTTTCGCGATCGGATCCTCTGATCCGCTATGTATGTTGGGGATCTGGTTAAGCCGAATAAGGGTTGCTGCGTTGTATAGGTCTGGCCTCGCAGCAGTGGCGGAGCTAGACAACGGAGGGAGATCGGGCGGGCGAGGGCACGTATTGGTAAAATGGGCATTAAAGTAGGGTTGAACAGTCCTTTCAGATGTCGGTTGGCGCTTTGGACGATGGGCCTTCTTTCGGGGGATGATCAATGGATGGCCTTCCGTAGTAAATACATACGACGCATCAAGTTTGTTTAGGGGATGGTCTGGATCAAAGAGGAGATACATGTACTTGGCGGTCTCTCCGAGAAAGAAGCTCTCCATTCGGTCGCTTTTCTCACCGGTGCGCACGTCCTGCAATCCAGACCAGCCGCATCTCGTCCAGCATCGCCTGTTGATATCTTTCAGAACCATTTCTCCTGCATAGAGATACCAGGGATCTCGAGTAGCACGATATAGATGGTATGTTGATTCGATGAATTCTGGCCGACCAGGCCACCAGCCAAGACCACCTTCGATATGGCCGTCACGGACAGACCATCGCTCTGGGAGGGCAGAGTATCGAGTCCACAGCGCAGTATAAACTAAATGTGTCTCAATGGCTTCATTAAGCTCTCCGGCTAAAGCTAACAAGCCAGAGTAATATGCGCCTAGACTGTCGATCCAGTATGCCTGTGGTGAACCAGTAGACATGTGCGCATTCACGTAGTGAGGGTGATGGAGACCAGAATAAAGATGGCGCTTGATGGCGGCGTGGGCATGATGCCAGGCCTGCAGGAAAGAATCGGGAGAGTTATCCTCGTCTGTGAGCGGGTGATATATTTGATTAGGGTCAAGCCAGTTCCCTTCGTGAACTTGAGGCATCGTCTGGTTGGGCAGTTCCTGGCCTGATAGGAGGATATGGGTCTTGATAGCATATTCGAAGAAGCTATCAATCCCAGCACCGATCCCTGAGGATCCTCCTATCCAGTGTCCTCCTTCGGCATCTACGCCTGCTCCAATGAGGCCGATGTTGCTTCTCCTTGACCAGACAGCCCAGAAAGCCCTTTTAGCAGCTTGCTCGAATCTTGGGTCCCCAGTGAGTCGGCTCAGTACAGTAAATTCGAGCACCAGACTACCTGCCCCAGCACTACAAGTTTCGGTAATTTCCGGAGAATCTTCCGCCGGCTTCGGCTCTAGGCCGGCATTCCCATGAAGTGGCGAGTTCAAGTAGAATGGTATCCCATGGCGCAAATTAACACGCGGGTAGGGCAGCCCGGTCTGGGTGTAAAAGGCCGGAAGCAAGCGCTGAGCTAGGTCGAGTGAAAGTCGTAACAGCTGCCCGTCATATTTAAATCCGTTCGGCCAAGGGATGGGATGTTGCTCGGTTTCGTCGTCGTCATCAGTTGCCCTCCAAGGATCATATCGGGAAATGGGCAACTCCCCAACAGCGAAAAGATGAGCACTGAGTAGTCCACCAACACCCCTTATCACGGTTTCGAAGACTTGCACCTTACTGTCAAGATCAAAAGCGCGACTGCGAGCACCCTGTCCTGACGGGCCGGGCCGTCCATCGCCGTACTGTGCGACCAACGCGGCAACACCATCTTGGAAATCGCGCAGGGCTTTAGGACCGGTGTCTCTACTATCAGGTGGCGCAGACGCAAGGATCGCGAGGGAAGAAAGGCTGTCGATCAGGGTCAGGGAGTAGTTGCCGAGGACGTCGTTCAGCGCAATATTTCTCGGGTTGAGGGGATCTCGAGTTAAGGGCGTACAAGAAACGGGCCGTAACTATAGATGATGAGCTAATGCACGATTCTACTTTTATGTATATGAAATGAGGCAATCCATACCTCATCTTCGGGAAACGCAATGTTCATGTAATTGTTGAACCCGTGATAGAACATGTCGACAGTATCCTGCCTCAGCTCGGCGATGCGGCTGGGGCGCATCGCCTCTGCTATAGCTAGCCATGGCACCAAGAGCGCAAATAGCAAGGTCAACCTATTAAAAGCGCCATGGTTCGTCAAGTCGTGGGAGATGGCCAACGTCCAACTGCCCATGCCTAGCAAGGGCATCACCGGCAGGGGAATGCAGCAGAAGGCATGTGTATGAAAAGAAGAAGGACGGGAGCGACGATCTAATTAGCGAGCTTTTTCGTTTCCTACCGTCCTCGAAACCAGCAGAGACGAAGGTGGGCTTTGTTTAATTGGAAGAATTTGTTTTGGTAATATTTACCTAGTGCCTAGGTAGGTAAGTAGAGTTAAGGATTATCCTTTGTGAAGTTTCAACTTTGAGCCAACAACAACAAAACAACACACAAGGCGAATAAGAATTTAGAACATGATGATGATCGGATGTTAGTTTGCGATTTCCAAGGCTATCGGTATGCTGTCATTAAAGATTGAATTTCAGACGAACCCTAAACCGAACTAAACTAAAATAAAGTTACTTGTGATACTAACAGAATTCTCCAATCAAATGCTGGATAATTGATAAGTCGCTCTGTACTTCCTTACCATTGAGCGGGTCTAGATTGGTCTGAGGACACGTGCCAACGTTGGCTTGCAGCTTCCAAGGTTGCTTATGTAAAAACTGCAATAAAAGGTTGGAACCTCGGAACCTTCAGTCCAGGGCATATCGATAAAAGGTAACACCAGCTTATCGATAGGTAACTTCAACTTCAAATCAAAATTCTGTACAACACCAACGATGTCCGCTTCCACTACTTATACCTAATAAAGGTTCAACATCTAGCCGAGTCGGAAAAGCTTCATGTTGTGTGACCTGCGGATACCCGGCGTCTATTATGTTCGTACCTTTTACTTTCATCAGTCGTACAGCTACAAGCTGCACAGTGTATGATCGATCAACGTCAGTTTTCACCATTCTTTGCTCTCTGCCGCGTGGTAGGTATTCTGGATTTAGTCTCATGACTAGCGCCAGCAAGACATATCCAAGCCACAACCCTGCTTGAAAATCCATCATGGCCGTGAAGTATTCATCGAAATACCTACTTACCCAGCACCTACCAACCTAAGTAGGAATGTCTCGATGCTAGTGCCTCGCCACAGCTAGAGTCAAATTTCCACGTGTCTCGGGGGGTTCATCGAGATCCTGTAGTTACTGTAACGGCTGAGACAAAGCTCGCTAGGCTTTACAAAATAGCGAATAGGTACGTGTAGATTCATAGCTGACCTTAGCTCTAGAGGAATTCCCGGATTTGTAATATCCGGGGAAGACTAAATAAAGTCTTTAAACGAAGGATACA